TGTGCTTAGGCTGGTGGGGTGCTGACCATGACTACACAGTGCTCTTGAGAAGGAACGAGCTAGTTAACTCTTTGATGTCCACAGCCTCAAAGATCTGAGCATGAGCAAGCCCTGCTTCCCGCTTACACTCACCACCCTCCTGCAAACAGATGGGGAGGGTGAGACTTGAAATTTACCCAAGGGATCTCACCCCAGCTTCCGTTTTTCCTAGAGGATATGGGATCATGGCGAATCGATTCCAATGAGGGGGACCAGTGGAAGGTGGAAAGGCTCCCTGGAGATCATGGGACAAATTTTCCTGACCCCAAAGTCAAGAAGTACTTTGTCACGTCCTACGGGTAAGACAAATGAACCAAGCAGGCTTGTGTTGAGGGGAAAGAGGGTCAGGACAACTTTGTCAAATCTCAGGCCTAAGTGAGGGTCTCTCTGCAAAGCTCGAGGAAGGCAGTTCCAAAACCTGCTGGGAGTCCACACTTCCTGCAGCCAGTAGACTCAGTAGTTGGGTTAATGGGCAGTGAGGGGTGGAGATCAATTTAAGGAGGCCAGGAGTCCATCAGGCAGTTAAGTTGGGGTGTCTATAAGCATCCCTAATCTAGCAACATGAGTTCAGAAGTCCCCTCCTCGGTGTCCTGGGAGGTGCTGCCTTCAGACTGGGATCAAATACCACCCAGGCACAAGCGTGTCAAACTCCCCTATATTTCTCACTGGCCTGCACCAGGCAAGGGACACCCTGGATCCCCTGAACCACCTCCCTGGGCAAACAAGGGCATGCAAGAGCAGGCCTGGAGACACAGCCTTTCCCTCTGCTCCCCAGCATGTGCCTCAAGTCCCAGCTGGTGGACCTCAAGGCCGAGGGCTACTGGGAAGAGCTGCTGGATAAGTTCCGGCCAGACATCGTGGTGAAGGACTGGTGAGTGGGGCCCATGGCCCGTGTCCCCACGCTCCGCACGTTTCCACTTCCCTTCTTGCCACACCCACTGAGTGAGAAAACCCGTAGTAAGTGTCCTCTGCCCAGCAGTGTCCTAGGGCAAGGGCTGCCCCCAGAGGCAGGCAGACCTGGCCCGCCCCTCTCTGCTGACAGACCGAGCACTTGTCATCCCACAGCAGCTCTTGGCCTTCCCACCACCCTGTGACAGTCAGCAGGATGCATTAGCCCCAGTCTGCAGATGGGGAGACTGAGGCCTACAGATGAGTTGTCACTAAACAGGCACTGAGCAACAGAGGACCCCAGCCCTCTGGCATTCCTGGAAACTCATGCCCTCTTGCCGATCTGCTTCTCCTTCCCCTGTTTACCCCACAATTCTTTCCCACGTTCCTATTCTGTGTGCAGAATTGTGCAAGGCTCTGGCTTGGCCCATGGCAGAAGCAGGACCGTAGCTCCAGCCAAGGCCCCAGAGCAACCACCCCAGGGGTGGAGGGGCGAGGCTTGAGGGCTACGCAGAGTTCACTGAGCTGTGCAGAGGGTGAGCTCCGCGCCAGCGCTGTCACACAGGGCAACCCCTTGGGGCTCCTGTTGGATCCATTGTGATGCACAGGTGACACAGCTTGGACACACCAGGCCTTTGTAGAGGGCCTTTTGCTTTTTGAAGTCACATCTTCAGTATAGTGTCCCCAAGAGTTGCCCTTTCCTCAGATGTGGTAACTGAGGCCCAGCACGGATAGACTGCCCAGTCTGGGTGCAGAGTGGGGCACAAAGACCACGGACACCAGCTGCGCCTCGTAGGCAAGCAGTGAGTGCAGAAGGGAGGCTCCAGCCAAGCTCAGGGAAATGAAACTCGGGGCTCCACTGAGGCCAGCCCCAGCGGCCCAGATACACAGCTGAACCCCACCCTCCCCAGGTTCGCGGCCAGAGCAGACTGTGGCTGCACCTACCACATCCGAGTGCAGCTGGCCTCAGCCGACTACATCGTCTTGGCCTCTTTCGAGCCCCCACCTGTGACCATCCACCAGTGGAACGACGCCACGTGGACAGAGGTGAGGCATCGCCTGCTTGCCCTGCCCCCCACCTGCTTCTCCTGGGGCCAGGATGGCAGTAAACAAAAGGCAACCCCAAGCCCGGAACCCCTGCCTTCCAGCCTGGGCAGCTGTCTCCTAGGGGACCTGGCTCCTCCCTTCTCCTCTCCAGTTGGGTGATCTCCCCACCTCACCCCCCTTCCCAGTTCTGGTAACATCCCCTCCCCCCAGGTCTCCCACACCTTCTCGGACTACCCTCCTGGCGTCCGCCACGTCCTCTTCCAGCACGGGGGCAAGGACACCCAGTTCTGGGCAGGCTGGTATGGGCCCCGAGTCACCAATAGCAGCATCACCATCAGCCATAAGACAACCAGGGAGCCAGCCTCCTCCACAGCTCGGCCTGAGACGATGCCGGAGCAGGAGGAAGCTGCCCGGCTGCCCTCCCCACATCATCTCTAGAGGACCTAACAGGCCCTCCTCTGACAGCCTTTTGTCCGTCCTGTCCGGGTCCCCTCCAGCAAGAGCTGAGCCTGTAGTGGACAGTGAGGTCCCCTGCCCTGGGAGCTCCTGCCCCAGTTCCAGCCTTGGGCAAACCCACAAGCTTGTGCTAACTTACTGTCACATAGTTCTGGTGCTTTGTCATAATACATGTTTTCAGTACCCAGCGTGGAGTTGGGTTTGTAGGTGGGGGGCAGGGGTCCCTGGTCCTTTGGTAGAGAAGCAGCTCCTCCCCCAGGTTAACCTGGCCATAGCTGTCCATCCCACTCCGACTAGTGACAGCCCAGCTCAGCCCAGAAGGCCCCTTTATTGAAACAACTCATAGCAGTATTTGAGACAGACCATGCTGGCCGGCTGAACCCCAGGAGGCTGAGAAATCAAGGTCCCAGCATTTCTTGCTGCCTGCCTGGGGAGGCTTCCCGCATGAAGGCAACCAGACCTGAGCAGCCCTGGGCTGGAGGGTGGGCGGTCCACATAGAGAGGTAATAAGAGCACTTGGAATCAGAGTGGCCCTGCAGCGCTGCCTTGGGCTGAGGGACCCTCAAAGTCTGACAGTTGTGGCATCAGTGGGGTGGCAGGCACATCCTCAGCTGCTTTTATGAGCTCGCTCTTCTACGTAGAGCTGCATCTAATGGAAAGAAACAGCCATGGTCAGGGGATAGCCGGGGCACCCCCTCTGAAGGGCCTATGAGCCAGAGTAGGACCGCATGGCCACAGCCAGGGTTAAGGGAAAGGGAGGGAGATGGGAGGAGCCTTACACTAAGCTCTCCCCAGTTTTCTACCCCTAGCCTTGACCGGCAAGGCCTCTGCTCTAGGCCTCACCTTCTGGGTGTCCCCTAAATGAAGTCTCCCCAGTCCCCATGCAGCTCACCTTTAAAATGTCGGACGTCATGGTTTTTAGGGGTATCAGCCGGGGGTCGTGCATGTGGACATCCTGCTCATCCGCCAAGATCCAAGGGAAGTCCTAGGGAAGGGACCAATGTGAGGGGATGAAAGGGGACTGGACCCTGGCCTGCCCTTACTTTGCCATCCTCCCCCCTCCAGGGCTGGGATCCTCAGACTTGAGGGAGCATCAGAATCCCTAGGGAACTGCTGGCATGCAGATTCCCAAGCTCCTTCACCACCAGAGAGACCGAGTCTCTGGGTCCAAGCTGGGGCCCGGAACCCAAGTGACTTATTGAGCCCCAAGCACCCATTCTGAAATTGGTGGGCAATGACTTCCTTCCCTGAGAACCCCCATGTCAGAAGAGCCAGGATGAGCTGACGACCCCATCACGTGGCTCCATCAGCCTCCTCTCAACTCTGAGTGCCCAGATGGAGCAGTGACGGGCGTGTGGCCACGTGGTTAGCACACAAGAACCTGCTGGGTGCCAGGCACTGCCATGAGCAATACCCTTGCCTGCCTAGCACTGTGGCATCATGTTTTCAGAGCCTCCCAGCTGTCTCCCCAACCACCCCCCAGACCAGTCCCATCTCACCTTGATGACTTGGATCTTCTCCATGTTGCGAGTGGCAACTTCTCTCGTGTGCACCAGGACTGTGAAGGTACAGCCTGGAAAGGCAAGAGGTGGGTCAAGGTTGGGCCGCCCCATGCCATGCCAGCCTCTTCCCAACTCCCTCGCTGGCTGGGCAGCCCCCTAGAGTAGGGCGTAAACCAAGTGCTAAGAAAAGGCACAGTCAACAAAGACTGAAACCAGGTGGGGTCAATCAGAGAAGCTTCCTGGAGGAGGTGGGCTCTCAGAGGGATTTTGAAGGGCAGGAAGGAAAAGATGAGGCTTGGTGCAGCCAGATAGGTACTTGGGAACACAGGCCAACTCAAGGTAACCATGGAAACACAAGGGAAAAAGGGATGAGGGGGAGCACACCTGGAGGATTGTGGTCCAGGACGGCATCACACACACTGATCTTCAGGATGAAGGCTCGAAGCAGCTGCTCAACATGGGACAGCAGGGAGTCTGAGCTGGGAACAAGAGAGGAGGGTCCCCCATCACACTGGTGCCCTCCCTCCACCAGCAGACACAACCCTGGAAGGAGAGCTGGGGGTCCAGAGCCCCTCCAGTGCCTCTGAGCGTTGGCTTCTAGGGCCCAGGACCCTAATTAGTCTACACAGTTAAAACCAATGCCCAGCCCCAATCAGACTAAGTCAGAAAGTGGGGAGGGATGTAAGGGAATCCCAAGGTTGTTCTAAGGCACAGCCAGGGCATAGCCCAAGCCTGTTCATACCCTAGGACACCAAGCTGGGAGGGGAAGGGCTGCCTGAGGCCACACAGCCAGTGGGGACAGGCTGGGGCTAGATTCTAATGCCCTGACTTCTTCATACAAAGCATGCAGCTGACCAGCTAACACGTGTGGCCAAGGTCAACTTCTAGTTGACTACAGACCTGACACTGGACTGAGAAGTCAAGAAATTGGGTCTGTGTCCTGGGCTCTACCACCCCTCAGGCAACCCTGGATAACCCGTCACCTCTCTGAACCTTGGTTTGTCCATCTATAAAGTGAGGTTAGGACTAGCCATTCACCAAGCTATGACTTTCCATGTGTGGCACGGGAGAGTGTCCCTGTAACCTGTGCACTGTCCATCGAGGCTGGTGCGAGGCCAGCCATGTCTCAGCCGCTAACAGGCTGAAGCCCTGGCAGGCTGGCTTGTCCTGTCATTTCTCCTCTCAGGTCTTCACCAGGGTACTCGGGGCTGCCTGAAGGGGGAGGGAGGAAGGGGGTACTACTGGAGACCTCACACCAGCTAGCAGCTGCAGGGAGGAGGCAGCTCACCTGATGGACAGCAACGGAGGTTGGGTGATCTCAAAGACGAATTTTTCCACTGGGCGGTGCTCTTTATCCAAAATTACCACCACCACTTTCTCCACATCATTCTGCAAGGACAGTAATCCCCCACTCCAGAGCCGGGCACCCTGTCCCTCCCTGCCCCAGGAAGGATGGGAAAGGGCACACTCATAGCCCTACTCAGCTGCTAGTCTATGGGTCCCCAAGAGTCCAGAAAGTGGGTTTAAGAAGTTCAAGTTGGCAGTCCTGGCCCTGAATGGTATAGGCTAAGAGGAGAGGATGCCTGGATCCCATGGGGGTCCCAGGGAGACCAGGACAAGATAGGAGGAAACCCTGAAGGGCCCAGCCCAGACAGAACTGTCAGGGTATGGGGGGCACTGGAAGAACAGATGTGACAAGAACCCAGAACACTCTGGGGCAGCCCCCACTCAGAGCCAGCCCCACTAACCTGGACTCTTGGGCCTAAGGCACCCTAAACTTGACCCACGTGCCCTGGGCCTGTCCCTACGTGGGGTTGGTCTCCAGAGTGCGGGGAAAAGGCTTCTGAGTGTTAGAGCCATGGGGACTCTGCGTGGTCCCAGCATCACCCCACCCCAGAGTCAGGCCCATGAGTGTGGAACAGATTGGGGGTGAGGTGGCTGGAGGGGCCTGGTACCTCCTCACCTTCTCCAGGAGTGGCTTGACGCAGTGCAACGTGTCCTGGATATACTGATTCAGCTCCGGGTGACAGGACATCTGCACACAACCCCGTGTGGCTGGTGAGGCTCGAGGCATGGATGGGGAAACCACCTAACATCCCTCCAGAAGCCCCAGGCCACATCTGTCTGAGGCCCAGCAGCTCCCTAGGGCTCCCTACCTAAGAAACCCATCTACCATTTATCCATGGAGGAAAAGAAGTTAGAAGACAATTCAATGTAAACACTAGCATTTAATGTAGCATTAGGGGTTCCTAATGTGGGATCCATGGGCTCCTCTAGAGTCTGAAAATGTACACAAAGTTGTGTGTATTTGTGCATATGGGCATTTTTCCAGAGAAAGGACCCAGAAATTTAATCAGATTTCAAGTTAAGAACTAAGGAGCTGTGTGGCCTCAGGCAAATTACTTAACTTCTCTGAGCTTCAGTGACTTCATCTGTGACTAATAGGTGAGGATTAAATGAGATGAGTAAATACCTAGTACACAAGAGGTGCTCAGTGTTGGTTCTTTTTTCTTTTTCCCTGTACATCCTTTAAGCTTCCACCACCTTCCAGTATTCAGTCATTCATTCTAATGTGTACTTAGTGCCTTCTAAGGGAAGGCGCTTCTAATGACTGAAGACAGAGCAGACCACTTTGTCTGCCTTTTAAACTTAAGCCCATTAGAGTTTACGATGAATGAGGGGAGGGAGAAAATGCCAGAGATTTACGGGAATCCCCTCCCCAATCCGAGGTTCACCAGCTTCAGGAGCTCTTTTAAAACAGGGCAACTCTAATCCGAGGCCCTGGTCTCTAACTTCTGTCAAGGGGAACTCCCCTTGCAGGGAATGGGAAGAAAAGTCACTGCGGTGAGGGCTGGCAGTCTGTGGCAGCTGCTGGGAACTCGAAGGCAAGGCAGGCCCCTGGGGAATGAGGGAGCGGGGCTGAAGGTGGAAGAGAGTTTTCAAAAAGCCACCTTCTACCCACCGTGACCCAGGGGCCGCCGGCCGTCCTGGCGCGGCCTAGGTGCTCACCTGCACCGGCACGTTGTATTTCTTTCGCTTCTGGAAGATGCCCACCGGGTAGACCTCGCGCACGTAGAGGATCAGGTGCACGGCCACCTCCAGGAACTCGCAGAGCACGTCGGCCACCACTGCAAAGGGGGAGCACAACCGTGTGCGCTCCGGGAAGCCCGCCGGCCCAGACCTCCCCCCCAGGTCTGCAGGTCCAGCCTCCCTACCTTGGCCAAAGTTGAGATCCTGTCGCGTGAGTGTGGTCATCCTGCCCGCTACCTGGGGAGTGGGTAGCGTGTAGTTCCAAAGGCCCAGGAGCCGCGGGGCCCGCCCGCCTCCACCACTCCCCACCCCCCAATTCACACAGAATCAGGGCAGCTGAGAAGGGCCCCCGCACGCTGGCGTCATAGCCTCTGTCACGGGCCGCGCGCGCCCCCTCGCCCAGCTGTCTTAGGGGGTAGAAAAGACCAGGGCTGTGCCAGCAAAAAGGAAGGGCCGCGGACGCAGATGGAAACAGCTGGATGTGCGGGGCCAGGAACGCAAAGCCGGACCCGCGGAAACCGAAGCTAGGGGGGACTAAGACTCCGCCCCCTGCCGGGCTGGATCCCTCTCCCCTCGCCCGGGACCCGCTCCGGCCTCCGTTCCCGCCCGGGGTCCACTCGCGCCTCCCGCTCAACCCGCGGCCTCGGCGCCGCTCGGTGACGTCCGCGGCGCTCCGCGGGTCCTAGCGCCCGCCGACTAGGCCACGCCCATCCCCGCACGGGGCGGGGCCTGCTGGGGGCGGGGCCGGCCTCGCGTTAGCCACCCTAGGGCGGGGCAGCGGGCTGAGACTGTGGCGCTGCCTCCCTTCGACATCGGGTGGGCGCGAAAAAAAGACCACTTGGGTCTTCACCTCGGATCGCTACGTATTTTCCCCTCCAGTCCCGGAAGGGAGAGGATAGAGGTTGCTGGTGTGGGTCAGGTGGATGGCACAACTGGGGACTAAGGGCAGCGACATCTACCGCTAGTTCCGTAGTCATCGTTCCCGGACCCACAGCTGCCCGCCCAACCGAAAGCAAATCCGCTGGTTCGGGGGCGAGGAAGCGAAAGAGCGGAGTACACCGGGGCGCCCCACCCTCATCCGGTACCTCAGTGCAGCCCGGCTGACCGCCCAAGAAGATAAAACGTCCCGCCCTGTACTTCATGACAATAGCTGACCTTGACAGAGCTCCAGCTGTGTGCTATGCACTGGGCTAAGGGTGGACGTGGGTTCTCTAAATCCTCACAATATCTTTATGGGGCAGTTACTATGATTGTCCCCTTTTGTACAGATGGGCCAAACGAGGTTCAGAGGGGTGAAGTAAGCTGCCCGAGTCACACAGCTAGTTGGGGGACGCAGGGTGACGGAGGTGTCTTCCGTGTACTGTTCTGGAGTCCCCCAGAGGCATAGACTCAGTCTGGAAGAGTTGAAAGGCTCCTGAGATATGATAATATTATTAAAATAATTACTAACACGGGTCCAGCACTTAGGTGTCAAACACTGATTTCTTTAATTCCCTTGTTAACCCCGGGAGCTAAGTATCCATTTTACTTTATAAATGGTAAAACAGGCCCAGAGATGTTCCCTAATTCCCCCAAATCATTTGGAATACAAACCCAGCTCTGACGCCTGTTCTGACACGAGGGCTTCAACTTCCTTACAGCTCCCTGTTTTACTGGTGGGAAGACTAAGGGAGGTCAGAGCTTACTAAGAGTCTTGTCCATCTGTTTGTACACAGATCTAGCCAGGAATGTCTACCGTTTACAGTTCATTATTGGAAATCTGAACACCCCCTCCCCACCCCACCACCATACCTTCAAACATGTATTTATACACTTCTGCTGGGGAGGAAAAAAGTAACCTGGCCAATTAAGCCAGGAATGTCAGCAGAGCATTTCTCAAAAGGCAGTCCTAGGAAATCTGCATCAGAATCC